CCCCCCCCCCCCCCCCCCCCTCCTTCTCTGTTTTTCATCTATGGGAGTTATCTGTGCCGCTTTCAGCGAGACGGTCCACCGTGGTTGGTTTTGTCTTTGTTTTATTGAACACGCGGGGAAGTTGTTGCGCGCTTGCCGCATCGAATGGGCGCGTATGTCGACTGAGTGTACAGTGTCACCAATGTCCCGAATGTTGCAAAAAATAGGTAGGTGAGTGCAGCCTTTATCAGTGCTCGCCTTTTTGCCAACTAAAGGCGAGATGCGGCGAGCGCGCCTTTGGCGAGCAATCTTGAATGAAAGGTTCCTCATAAACGTCCTTGGTTCCCTATCTGCTTTGCCAAGAGCGATTACAGACCATCGGTGTGGATGTGTTCCTCGGTGACGTCCGCTCGGCCTCATGTGGGAGCTCTGCAAATGAGCTGGCCGTTAGGCAAGCAGGCGATGCATACGCTCCTGCTGTCCCTCGTGCATTGGTCGCGCCTGCCTGTTCCGGGTGCTGTTGTGTTCAACCCAACCCATTGTCCTGTACTTTTTTTCCTGGAGCCACCGCTGATCCCGATGGTCGTTCCTTGCTCATGTCTCTGGCCAGCGCGGATAGCAAGCAGCGTACAGAGGCGCTGGGGTTGGTGAATTGTTTGGCATGAGAGAGGCGGCGCGGCCTCTACTGCCGTCGCGTTGCTGTCATGGCACTTTTGTAGGCTGTTTCCCTCACGAATGTACATGCCCAATCTTCGCACTTTCCGTGTGTAAGTCTCCCTCTTGCTTGCCCCTCCTCCCCTTGTCGTTGGGCAAATGGTCTAACGACTACGGCATGCACGGTTGTGAGCACACACCCCTCTTTCCTGACCGCCGTGTGCGAACCCCCCACCCCACCTCTCCCTTGCCGAATGTCCATGTATTTCGCTCTTCAGGTTTGAGCGCGGAGGCCAACATCAGCGCGGCGGGTTCGGCCGCCGGGGACTCTGGTAAGATCGACTCCTCGGCCATAAAGAGCGGCGAGATGTTCGCCTCCTCGAGCATCGACCCTGACGCCACCGCCTCCGTAAAGGTCGAGGGCGCGGAGGGACAAACTCCCATGGAATGGACCGCCAGTGCCGGCGACGCCTCGGCCATGTCGGGAAAGCTCCCCATCGCAGGGGGCTCAGTGAACACCCCTCCTATGAGCGGAGGAGTCGAGACACCCTCCATGAGCGGGGATGCGCCCTCCATGAGCGGGGGTGTCGATGCGCCCTCCATGAGCGGGGGCAGCGTAGACGCGCCCTCTGGGGGCGTGGACGAGCCCTCCATAAGCGGGGGCGGCGTGGATGCACCCTCCATGAGCGGGGGCGCCACCGGCTTACCATCTACTAGTGCCTCGGTAAGCGCCGACAAGCCAGGGTCCGGCAGCTCCTCTTCCGCGGCTATCGCCGCCCCAAATGCTTCCGTCTCTGCGCAAGACGGAACCCCGATTATGACGTTGCCGCAGTCGAAGCAAGCGGTTGACGCGACGGGTGCGGGCGCAGTAGCTGCGGCGCCCGCCCCTCCTAGCACCGGCGGCGCTTACTACACCTTAGCCGCGCGATCGCCCGCCGCGAGTGCGTACGTAACGAGCATTTCGACCCCAAAAGCAGACGCGCGCACGACGCCCGAGCCTCGTATGAAACGCTTCTCTAGCGGCGGGGTCGTCAGCCGACTCGCGGCGGCAATAGAGCACAAGGGTCCGAGCCCGGTTGTAGGGCGGGAAGGAGCCGGAGGTTTCGGCCGCGGCTCGAGTTTTGCCCTTGAAAAGGAAATCGGTGGGGCTCCTAACGTGGAGGTGATCGCCGTACACTGTCCCATGCGGATGCATCAAGAGATGCCCCCCCCCCCGCCCCCCGCGCGCGCGAAC